TATTTATTTTTCTAACACACAAGACAAGAAATGTTTATCGCTGGCGGAATAATAGCAAGACCTTTGTAACTAATGAAAAAACTAACCTTTTCAATAGCGCAAATTACCATGAATATGCTTTTATTATTGTCGCCATAATAGCCTTTGTTCTCCTTTCAGAAGTCAAGTTGAGTTCCCTTTTGAAGGATAAGAAGATCGGCACGATAAAAGAAAGCTCAAATAGAAAATTTCACAGGGGATCTCCCGTTGTTCATTCTAAAACATAAATGTCAACAAAGCCTTTCAAATTGATAAAAATTGAAAATGAGCCAAAAAGAACAGCAATAAACGTAGGTTGGTCATCCATCATTCTAGCACCAGGTCACTATTAACTTTAATTATGATTTTTTCATTTTCTTTTGTCTCTCTGGTGTTCTTCGCAGCACATCTCTTTCCGTTGCATTAGGTGATGGAAAATTTCTAAATCTCAAGTCTTTAGAAATAAATGAATGAGCTAGACAATAGTACTCATTATGGTGGATGGAAAATGAACGCTTCGAACACCTGGCCAAAAAAGTCGAGCGAAAAATCCTTCGGCATTGACACATGTGCTCGGCTCGGTTTATTTAGTTACCATGAACCGTTGGTATAATTTGTTCAAAGAAAATAATACCAAATCTTTTATGTAAATAAACTGAATTGCCCGAACACACAAGCGAAGAGAGCTGACATGCGAAAAACTTGAAGGTAACGTAAGTCTATCCAATGACACTGTTGTTTCCCGTAGAGAAAAAACATACAGTAATAATAGTTGGTGAATTAAACTAAGTCTTATTTCAACATATATTGGATGGCTCTCTAATCTTATTGAGGTTTAGATATTTTAAATGCTATTGTGAAAACATCTATTTTACTCTTAAGAGCCAGCACTTGACGTTGTCAACGCTCGTATTTCGTCTCGAAAGAATCTCGACTACTTATCCCGAGGGTAGAATCAAAATGAAAAGTTACTTTTCTAAAAATTGACCATGTTTTTGGTTTTTCATGTTATTAAAGCGTTAATTTTGAATTGACTTTCGACAATAATATCCCAAAACAAAAAATCTTATAACATAATAATGATCGTCTCACGGTAAACATAGGGTATATGAAGCCGCAAGTTGACAAAATCCGCGGAAAAAACCGTATTTTTTTTCCTCCAATGAATAACTTAACGAATTCACACGTTTACACCTAATCTATCTCGTAATTCAGGATTGTTAAGCGATGAATACAGCTAAGTCAAATAAGGCCACACCGTTATGCTATCACAGTGTTGAAAGGCTCAAAATTACCGGTTCAGTTGCTTAGCTACTGCGACGTGCTCGCGATAAACGACATCAATTCCAAGCATACAGCCAAGTGGCCTTCAATAATACCATATTTCAAAGAACCATCAGAAGTATCAAGCATTCAATAGGTAATTTTCAATTTCAAATAGAAAATAACTGTACTTAACAACAAATCTGTCAGTTTGGTGAGGGTTTTTCAATATTTGATATTAATGACTGAATGGGGCTAGATTACACTATATTGAGTTTTGCTTAGAAGCCAGGTTAAAGACGATTATTCAAAGCCAATAAAGTGAGCTTCACTTCGTGAGTTCAAGCTCTTTCCAAACACTCTTAAGGGCAAAGCCAATATTTTCCCTGTAAAATTAGACAAATGTTTGCTATTGAACCAGTTTAATGATAAATCGCCGATAAGCAGTACTAATTTTATATTGAAAACAGGCATCTTGTTCAAAAATTATCATGTCCATCTTCCATTCAAACGGGTCATTAAATCAATCCTGGCAATATACGTAGATTTCTCTGTAAATAGAACCAATAATTTCTCGAGAAATCCAGCTATATATCCGATAACTGCCAGTTCACCTGTCCACACGAGACATTTATCACGAACCCATAGTACAATACAAATCAATCCTACAAAACAACGGCTAGAAATGCTGAGAAGATCGTGAATAGACTAAGTGTTACGTCATGAATATTTCATATGTTCTTTCGAGTTTCTGGTCTAACACACCAACCGATAGAGAAAAACTCGGGTTTATAAGCACATTCATGGAGATCCTCCAATATTTGCATAAAAGCTTTACGTCCTTCAAACCATCTTATGTAATTTCGGTTTACTTTAGAAACTAATAAACATTTTCTGAAAAGAATTCTAATTGTTAGTCCCCGGAGGGGGAGGGTCATTTAGCATTGCTTCCTTACCACTTTTCCCACAGGAGAACTTTCAAGCAAACATTCGCTTATTCTTTGGCTGCCATAACGGACAGTAAAAGTTAGACTATCATTGAAAAGACTCAAAGCAAATAAATTTGAGATAAAAATTACCGTATTTGTTTGGCCAATCGAGACTAGGTGACAAATCTAAAATCGCGCTTGCATAAATCTTAGGCAATAAATTTGGACAGACTGTCTAAAAGGATTGAAAAACCGTAATCTCTTTTTCTATTATTTCTCGAGCTTTTAAGATTGGTCTAAGAGCTTAAGTAAGCGTAGAAACAAAGAAATAATAGCAAATAATAGCCGAGGAGTATATTCAAAGGAGAGCTCTCTATTTTTGTGTTAAAATGATTGAGAAATGGATTAGTAATTTCCACCAAAGGACAGGTGGGTAAAAAATAAACTATTGAAATGTGCTGCATTCAGTAAATATTTCATCAGAACGGCTGTTGTGTGTGTGTGTGTTTTTTTTAATAATCACGTCTATTTTTGCGTTAGTCATTTTGAAAAGAAAGAAGAACCACGAATTTATTTTTAAAATAAACATCGCAGAGACGACGCTGTTGCGCTGGCCACAACAAGAATAAGAACAGAGACAGACAGAAATGATATGATTTGGCGCCAGAGAAACGCTTCAAACCATTTTGCTTGTTTGTGAACTTCATTGTGCTACACAGTGTCAAGATTTTAGTAGCATTGAAACATCTAAAACAAAGTCTTGAAGAACGGTGAAACAAAGAAGGCAGCCACTACAATAGACCTCATGCCCAAACAGTGTAACATACATCAAAGCCACACAAAGAAGAGTTTATAGCGATCGGCGTCAACTACTTCGAATCGGATTGTATTTTTATCAAAACGAACCGCCGCGCGCCCATAAATGAATTTTTAAAGATTGACCATACAAGCCTCGCATCATGCATGCAGGGAATTCAACCTTGATTACTGGAATACATTAAAGCACATCTCAAGTTTTTCAAAAGAAAATACACTCACTTTGCAAAGGGCTAATTAGTGGCGCCGTTATCACTACTTTCACTACATTTGTATAGACAAACTCTGCACCTAAATCGCAAATTAATTCGTATTATAGACAAACAAACACGGACGCTTTTCACAAAAGTTTTATTTTCTATCCTTTCAAAACCAGGCGCTTAAGAAATGACAGTAGCTCAAAGACGCAAAGCCGTTGTTTGTCCTTGAGGTAGGGTTCTCAAGCGCCAGAGCGTACCATGCCAGAACGTTTTACGAAATCATGTTTTGACGAATGATTGTGTTCATCTTCCGGCTTGTTTGTTCGATCACATTTGAGATAAGATAGCATATAAAATGAAAATAACTTTTCGCCTCTCCAAGATGATAGCGTTTTGTGATATCACGATCATTAATATAATAGGTTTACAATACAGGCCACTTGGGCCTGTCAGATTCAAGTCTGCTCAAGATCTGCTCGTGGTAACTCAACGTAATTGCTTTACCGTGGTTTTGTCTTTTATTCTCCCATGAAAACCGATAACACGTCCAAGTGAATAAGCAAATCTAGATGATATTCTGTGGGTTAAATTTTAATTTCAGATATGTACCACACAAATGATCCTATTATGAGAGTTGTTTCCACGTCTTTTATGGGTATATTAGTATTCTGTTAGCGGAACCTAACGAAACAACACCTTGAGATCACCCTGATTCATGTATTACGATGATAACTAGAGCCTCCTTTCAAAATAATGTTGGCAAACAAAGGATTATTAACGTAAAGGAAGTCAAACTTGTTCATAAAGGGCATTTATTCTTTGGTTTCCTACACCGCCTCAAGCAATAAATCTGCTCAGCCATAAACTTAAAAATGGTAAATTCAAACGTCTTTACCGCGAATGTTATAAAAGCAGTGTACAAATCTGTGTCGTTACGTTAATTGGGTAAATCGTCGAAGAACCTTGTATAACTTGCCATTTAAAATGACATTAACTAAGTAAAAATACGGCAATTTGATGGTAAAGATTTGAACAGCAACAGGAGGCCTCAATTCGACGCGTTTGACGAGAGACTTCTTGTTTTTTTTTATGACAATATTTCTCTCTTGGTTACCAATTTCAGAAGTCAGACAAAGCCCCTCATAAGCGGGGGGCATTCTTACGCTAAGCGACTAAATAAAAGATCTGATAATTGATCATTTGAAAGGCAATTCGCTTATAAAACTGACAAGAAAACAGGTAAAATCGGATGTACACCCCATATTTACTTTCTCATATTCTTAATATAAATTAATAATTTTCCTGAAAAATTCTGCAATTGATTGTTTGGCCCCAGCGTCGAAAAGAGCGCGCCACACAGTATACGGCTTTGACAGCCGTTCAAATTAAATCCTGAGATGAGAAAACATACTCGTCTTTGTTATAGTCAGCATGCTACACAAAAATCTTTGGAGCGCTTAAGATACCTAAATTTCCATAGCATTGTCGCAACACAATACCTTTTCAATTGGTGCCGAAAGCATAAAGTGAAGCTATTGTGTTCTCCCAATAGCGAAAATATAAATGTATTTACACATTCTAAATATCCCTTTGAAGGACCAATCAAAGATATACACCTTAAACATGCAATTCTTTACAGTCACTCCGGGGGAAATTTTCAAACATAACATCCTTGATTCTAATTGGATGGCCTTTTCAGTGAGTGACGTGTTGAGAAGTTTTTTGAATACAACACGACTCAATTACAGCACACGCATGCTCTTGTCTCTTGTAGTGTTTGATGTTACCGTCACCAGTGATCGTACACCAGTCTACGGTGAACCAGCAACAAGAACGGACCTCTGACCACCTAGAACATCCTAGGAGTGATATTAGACCAAACAACAATCTTGAAATGAGTGTAATGAAGCCCATGGATCATGTCAAAAGACCAATGAATGCTTTTATGGTATGGTCGCGGGAAGAACGCAGGAAAATTGCCCAAGAAAATCCAAAGATGCACAACTCAGAGATTAGCAAGCGACTAGGGACGGAATGGAAACAGCTCACTGAAGAGGATAAAAAACCATTCATGGAAGAGGCGAAAAAACTGCGAGCACAGCACATGAAGGACTACCCGGATTATAAATACAGACCACGACGAAAGCCTAAATCATTGCTGAAGAAGGCTGACCGTTATCCATTCCACTTGCCATGTATCCCAACACCAGAGGAAATGGCCAAGTGTGGCACCCTACCATCGACGACGTCCTTGCTGACTGAAAGTTACTCGACCGGCAAACCACGACCTTTTCTACCTGTTTCCTCGCCATATCCATACGACATAAATAGTCTAACATCGTCACCGGGCCATGCGTCGCTCACGGGATCAAGGCTAGAGCGAAGTTTGGAAATTCCGAGTGCTATTCGGCCGGACCTTCTATCTAGTGGACACTTGTATCCCCACAGTATGCTGCAGCCAGGTAATTTGCCGTTATCACCAAGTTCTAGCGCTGTTCATGGCAGTAGTCAGCTAGGTCCGCATTCTCATCTACACGCCGTCCAGGGCGCCAATGGACAGTATTCGTTACCATGTAACTGCTCATGGCAGCCCCAGGACGTACGACGACCCGTCGCATACTTATTATTGTGAACATTTCTTTCTAAAATTGTTACATTTACTACCGTATTTATGTACTTCATTACTGACCGATCCTTGAGGACGCCTTGTGTAAATTATTGTTGAGGATGAACATATTTGTATTGTCAAGCATATACCATGCTTGTACTTCAACGAAGACTTTCAATAGTCTACAAACACTTGGATGGAAAAAAAAAAAAACTTTTAAAGACAACTGCAAGACAAAAGACTTGAGCTCTTGCTTATAAATAAATCGTGTCAAGAATTCACAGTTTCTACAAACTCTTTAGCGAAACTATATTCAATGAATTCAAACTTTGGCTTGGGAAATCCAAAGCTAACATTATGACAATGACACATAGGCGAATTCACTTGTAATTTAAATTTGACAAAACTAACTCAATGTTGCTATCAATTTGACACATAAAAATTAGCAATCAATACTCTATCGTTTGTTTGTATATTATACCTTACAAGGACGACTATATTTAGTACTTACAGTCCGCAAACACATGTGTATGATCTAAATATAAATATAAGCAAAAGTTCCTTTTTTTCTAAACCTCTCGCCTTCTTTCTAAAAAGGTGCTAAGTAGTCTAACGTGGTTTCTCAAAGCGCGCATTTACGCTGCCGCCATATTCCGAACTGCATCGTTTGAGCCGCGAGAGTTTCGCCACTTGATACCGAATCTTGATTTGCAATTCTATCGGTTTCGCTTCACTACAAGGGAGACCTTTTGCAAAAATAAATCGGCCTTCGTATATAATAAATTTACCCTAACGCTAAACACAAGACATCCCGCTAAGAAAATTATTTCCTGAGCGAGCAACTTCACAGCGGATGTGGCTGTAATCTTTTTTCTGTTTGCAGTATTCTTTAGAAACGGCTGGGCTATTATTTAAAGCTTCTAGTCGCTTTCGTGTAGATCTAGGTCGAGTGCTTGCCGCGCGTGCATTGATGGTTTAAACCCGGACTTGATGATAATTATATAAGAGAATATAGGTGAACAAGAGGCGAGAATAACAACATAATCAAAAATACATGAGGTGATGGATGAAAGCGATGACATAAATAAATAAATAGACGATCAAGAGGAGATAAAGTGAATAACAATAGTGGAATGAATTACAATTGTCTTAATACTCCTATCACCATAACAATGACATACATCAACAACGCACAATAAGTGAATAGCGGCGACAGAAAGATCTCTGTAAATAAACCAAAACCAACTACGATAGGAATGGACAAAGAAACCTTGATGAAACAAACCGAGAGATCTTCGTCAATGTTTATCAAAGCTCAAACTAAAATGGGCCGATAACAATCACCTCAAAGACTTCACCGCTTAACATCCATTCAAATAAATACACAACGAAAATGAGAGAATTATTTGCAAGTCAAGACAATTTAGTCATCAACGTGACGGGAGATCTCGCCATGCAGCGAAAAACCCGTGCCGAGCTTTTATACATGTTTGAAAGGCTCTGCGGTCTAATTTTTACAAACAAATTTACAGCTACTCTTTCTTTTATTCTTGGTTAAGATAAGCGAATAAAAGAGGCATTTATTTGGCTTAAAGAGGCAGAGTTGCTGATGGAAATCGAAGAACCCAATTATCATCTATTGTTATTAAAGTACACTGCAATTTACTAAAATCGCAAGTGGATCACTGTCAGTTTCGCTTTTCATTTTTGAACTTGTACAACCACGAAAAAAAAAACTCAAGTTGCTGTGGAATCAGTTTAGCCCCCAATTTATTATTGTACTCATTGTGCAATTTTCACTTTGATTTTTTGTATTTTTATTGATTGTGTGTACTTATTTAAGCGGTAGCGGCTACATAAGAAGTGTCGGGTTTTTCTTTGGGACGCAGTTGATAACGCGTTACGATAGAGCCATAAGAAAAGAACCATTTAAATGTGATAACCGTCGGCAAACAGAGTTTTGTACACTAGGCCATGGCGGTCGTATTTAACGCAAAATAATTCCTTATCGATTATTTGAGTTACTTTTGTGTTACAATCATTTCGCGAGCTTTCGTAAGTGATTTTCAACTGTTCGCTCAATTTTTTTGTTTAACTCGCCGGAAGAGAACCTTCTTTTTTACAAACTAACCATTCGCAAATCCTTTACAAATTACACCAAATCATAAATCCATCCCTTCTTATTTGAAACGCAAACAAGTGTCTTGGATAGTAAGTTTTCACTTGAATGAATAAGAGGTTGAAATGCTGGTTCGTATGTTCTTTGCACTTAAAATAACTCCCAAGAGAGCAGAGTTCTTCAAGAGAGATTTTTAATTAAAGATGGCTTAACGCTTTTATTTTAATTGTATAATATTTTTTTAAAGGTAGCACTTCAAAGTTAGGTCTTTTAACCAGATTGATTTTTGGGGGCGCTAAAAAAAGCGAGTGAAAGTGTACATTCCTTAGGCCACCTGATCCGTCGGGCGCGTCCGAACTTCAAAGCTATCTTTTCTCGTGGTTGGATGTATATTTTTATTATTTTATATCTTTCTTCCCCCCACTTAAATGGTTGCTTTTACAAGACAAATGAATACGAAACTAAAAGACTGCATTCACTATTCATTAAAAAACTCCTCTGTATCTGCGTCAAAATTGAACCGCTTTTATTAGACGTTTTTTGAGTATAAATGGCCTTTTTTTTCTCTATCTATTTTTTCTTTTGTGAGTTTTTTTGTAGATTGTTTCTTGGTAATACTTCTAGATGTAATACCAGATGTCCTGCAAATCGTACAAAAGGTTGACAAAAATCCTCCTTTGCTCAGATACCGCCTGCCGGCCAAGTTCAGTATATTAATATAAGGAAAGACAAAGAATTTTAGTAGATGAAATCATCTTTAGGTTAGCTTCTTATAGATGCAGTAATTATGAACATAACTGAAGTGATTTTATCACAATAACTTTGCGGGCATCGTCTAACTTCGATTCATTATTCGGACCAGTACAAAACTACCAAATGAATGCTAATTGACGAGTTCTAACCCCCCTACGTTTGATGTCCAATAACATGAATAATTCACTCGCGGACTTTTTTTAATAAAAATAGCGACTGCCAGTGAAAGATGTCTGTAATAAACATACTAAAAATCACATATCGAAGGCGATAACTGATTGATTGTACTGCTATTCTGCTGTTTATGAAAATATTGATTACTTTTCAGCTTTTCAATGACCAATAACTCATGTAGCACATAATACTCTTCATTTGAGTTGAAACCCAGAGGTGACAGCTCTAGCATTTTTCTAATCACTACACAAAACTGCGAATCCGAGCTAATAACATTGACAAAGGCTCCCCGACGTACATTAGTAAACTAAGGTTTGATGAGAGCTTTGAGTCAAGAAACTATTGTTTAAAACTTCATGGTAATAAAACCTATATAAGTCAATGAACTGGGTTGTTTGTTTTATGCGTTTACTACGAAATTTTCAATACATTTGATTTTTTGAAATATTCTAATAAAACAAACGTTAGAATAAGGGAAATGGAGACCGCTTTTTATGAATTGGTTGTTGAATTGCTTTCAATTTCCTTAGCTTGCGAATTGAGCTCTTTGAAATATCCTCCACTAGATAGTTAATTTAAAATCTACTTCCAAATCAAGTGTTTAAAATAAAGTCTGATATATGGAAGTTCAAAATTTGAAACTCACTCACGGAGAAAAAAAACGAATATACTTCTTGTTTCTTCGAAAAAAAGATCGTTCAGTTTTATTAAGAACGAGTTTTGACCTTCTTTTTCGTCTTGATTTTTGGGAATTGCACTACATTTTTTAACTTTTCAATTTTAAAGAGAAATTGTTCTTGCTAATAAAACCTCGCGATCATAAAAAAAGTTGGAAACGTCTCCTCTTCTTTCTTTTCTTTTTCAAATGTCGCACGACAAATCTTTCATGAAATCTTAAATCAACTATGATGAAGAGAGACCTAACGATATGAGCAACACTATAGTCGCTAAACATCTGGTTTCTTCACTGATCTTATTCATCTTTTTCTTCTTTTTAGAAATTGCAGAAATTCTCTAGCCGGCGGTGAACTCTTGAATTCATATCTTTATCATGAACCAATATACTCAAGGCCTCACCACTTATTAAAAAGTATTTTCATTATTTCTATATTCCTTTCTTTCTAATTTTAAAGACATTGCTTTAAACAGCTATAGAAATGCTTGAAGACTCCTTTTTTTCTTTTTCGTTTTTTCACTTTACGCTGTCTGTCGTGTGTTTAACATATATTTTCTTTTTAAACAATTCTCTTAAAATAACGATAGCGAAAATGCTTCAAAATTCCATACCTTTAAGTCGGTACTTAGAGTAAATTTTAGTGGAAAAGTAATTCAGTATATACTTCAATTTTAACAGGACAGGACGGTCGGGACATCACGGAGATCTTACACTCGATAATGTCACAGCAATGGATTTCACGTTTGCTGTTTTAGTTGAAGGGAAAACATTTTTGGCAAGAAACTTGGAGCTGCTTTTCGAACAAAACAATACAACAAGAATATTTTCTAAGATGATTCAGCGCCCCTACTATACGATGAAAATCAACTGCCGCGCGCACTCCTAGGACTACACTATTAAATTGGCATGGCATTTCGCTAGTCTATATATCTTGTTCCGGGTTTGCTATAGGTCAAAAAGCATTTATTTTTGTATTGCTTGCTGAGTTTTAGCCGTTGAAATCTTTCACGAGTTTCCTGACAAAGTGGGCGAAAATAATCCATTCCCAAATGATTTTTTTCTGTTTTAAATTAACATTACATAGCCTAAACTTCCTGGATTATCCGTCTCGACGACGCTTGTAATTAATAAGCCACAAGAAGTAAATAAACTTGCGACAAATTAACGGTCCTTAAAGCTCGATGGGTTAATAACCAACTGAATCCAAAATCTTTCCGGTTTTTCTTCCCTCAATGACTCATAAAGATTTCGTTTAGTGATTTTTCATGGAAGTCCGTGAGTGTGTGATTACGTTATCATTAATTGACTGAAAAATAAGCGTTGAAATAATATAATAAGCCCGAGGAAACAGGCTCTGAGAGCGTTATAGAACTACAAACAATGGAGTTTGAAAAAAAAACTGTCGCCTTCGCAATGTATGTTGATTAAAGGTAGATTACGAATAACTACATGCAAATTAAAAAAAGAGGAATAGACATGTGAACGAATTTTAACACTTGATCTAAAATTTCTTTAAACGCCGTGCAAATAACAAATTTAGCCAGAGAAATATATTTTCAGATGTTCAAACAAGATTTAATTGTACATGAAGTACAATCGAGTACATTTCTATCAACGATATTTCATGGCGCCAACTCGAACACGCACACAAAAAGACCCCTAGAAACCAGTAAAAGGGCGTACTGAACTAATGATGATTTTTCACATATATTTGTTTTATTAACCTGCGTAAAATAAAATGAATTAACGCGCAAAATGTGGCTAAAATATACTGGGTCATTATACTACACGCGTCAAAAAAACTAACTAGAAAATCCTTTATAATCCTTTCTGCTAATATTGATGATTAAGAGGAAGTTCCATACTGTGTTGATTTTCAATTTAGTTCTTTTATATATGTCAAGTATAGAGTATAATCATAACAGAATGAAATGTCGTAGTGGTTTAATAACTTGTTTTTTAGTGTTTTGCTGTTTTCAACGCCCATCAAAGCGTGCGTCCCATTGTCTTCACAAATACAATGTTATTATTTGTTCTATGCGCAGTGTTTTCAATGAACATGGCGCGCGCAATTAATGATAATATAGCAAAACAAGCTTGCCTATAACAAGTCTATACTTCAAAAACTTTAATATGTCACCTCATCAATTAATAACGCTCAACCATTTTAGATAGAGTTTAGATGTTATTAAGTTCTTCACTTTTCGCAACTTCTAGACTGGCGATGGCATATAATTGATGATAAAAGAACTATGTTACCTTTCAATGACGCCTTTATACTCCCAAACCTTCAATACATCATCTCAATAGTGCTTAGACAGTTCAGATAAAGACATTTATGTGTTTTTGGCGTTTTTAAAATCATCGCATTTCATTAACAAATGTTATATTAATGGGACTATATCATGTTTTTATTCCCGCAAATGTTATCACTCCAATACTGCTATAAACCATGTTAGATGGAGCTGGAATTTCTTTTTTCTCAAGTTCCTAAAGTCTCATAATTTAAGTCTGAAATGCTAATATAAAACTTTTGAAACATCGTCATATTTATATAAGTATTCCGGCTTATTACTCCAATAGCGCTAAGCCAGTTAGTTGACGACATTTCTCTGTTTTTAAGTTCTTAAAGTCCGCACATTTTATTAGTAAAAGTTTTATTTGCAAACCTTCACCGTATCATCGCTTACGGCCCATTTTATACAAAGACGCTCTCAAGTATATGGTTTTAAGCTCTTAAAGTCTTTCCATTAAATACGTGAATTTAAAAGAACCATTATAGGTTTCTGAATGACACTTTTATAGTCCCAAAAACTTCAATAAATCATCTTGTTATTCCAATAACACTCAGCCATTTTAGATGAAGAGTTTAGGTGCCTTACTTTCTTAAATCTCAATAGCAGTGATATATAATTGATGATAATAGAACTATCAATAACACTTGATAATGACATCTTTGTATTTCCAAAACTGTAATATATCATATCAGAAGTTCAATAATGCGAAGCCATTTCAAATACAAACGTGTATACGCTCATCAAGTTCTTGAAAGAACGCAAAGACGTCAACTAGCTTATTAAACAGACTTTAACTTTTAAAATTGCATAAAAATGTAATTTTGGTTCTTAACATCTATTTTTTCTCCTTGGTCAGTAGATAGAAAAAATTAGAGATATAGAAAGAAAGTACAAACGTGAAATGGAGGGTGTCCTTGCAGAAAACCGCACAAACAGCAGTCTGATTCCAAATCAAAAATGTTTGAATAAACGCTGAATGCTTATGAGAACAAAACAATAACCACCTCACATTGACCTCATATCTTTATATCAAGAGACTATATTTTTCATCTTAACACTCAAGTTGTTTGCTACCTCCTTTCATACTCTATTCTTATTCAAAAACACTTCAATTTTAAAGCACCATTTGAACAAGTGGACTAAGGAAACAACAGTACTAAATCCACTACATCAATAGAGAAGAGAGCTAGAGAGAGAGATCTACACTAATCATTGTTCAACAGATACTTAGTGATTTGGGTTGTGGGTCCACTTGGTTGGGTTTGGTAAGATACTTAACTCACTCTATGACAGTGTCTTTTTAGAAAAAGAGAAGAGTTTCTTTTGGTACACATTGATTTTTAAAAGTAAGGAGGTATTATATGAACAAGCAAAATCGAAAAAGTCATATTCATAGTGCATGTGAAATAGTTTTGATGGCCTTTTTGTAACCCCAACATAATGTGCGATTCCTGTCCCTAGCCCCCAAACACGTGACAGAAACAGGGATCCCAGCAATAAGAGGTCAGTCTGATTGTGTCTTGAGATGATCATAAAGCACAAAAAGTGTTACCATGTCCTTTATTTTTTCTGTATTAGCCACATAAGAAACAATGTGTGAGCTGTATAAAGTGTCAGAGTAAGCCTGGGTATTAGCCTTAGCTTGGAAATCATAGGTGGGAAGTGTTTTCACAACAAAAATGGCAATCAACTCTTGGCTTGAATACAATGGTGCTTTTGGTTTAAAAATCAACCCCCTGGAGGTCTTATGCTTAGATTTGCATTCTATGTTTATTTTGGCATGGTTTTCCAAAAAGAGCAATCAATTCAGAGTTTTGCGGGAAGGACAAAAGACTTAAAATTCTTATAAAAGAGAGTGAAGCAGACTTTCTTTCAAAAGAATATGCTCATACCCACAACTCCTTGCATGTTCATTACAAGTTGGCATTTGTATCAGTAAGTGGATCCTAATAAAAAAAGCTACTTCTTGGCATGTTCAGTAAAACTGAATGAAACATCACAATGCAAAGTAGAATGAATGACAATTCTTGCAAATATAAAGTATTGACAAGAATAAAAGATTTTGCACCAGTAAAATCAGAAAGAAAGGATGCCCTTTTCGATCCTTTTCTAATTGCCCTTGTCTAACATGTAAAATTGTACAATGTATATTGATCTTCAATAAAGTTAATATATTCTACATGTGTGCTAGTTAGGGGATTATTTAGCAGTTGCAGAATCAGTAACGTGGATACAACACATATTCTTATAGAAGCCATGTAACTTTAAGAAGTAAGAACAGAGTTAGTAGAGGAGACTGTCTCCTCTACTAACTCTGGTAAGAATTACTAACACACACAAGGTCATACAAGCTTGAAATGCAACAAAGGGAATCACTGAGGTATAATAAACCATAATCTGTTATTAGATTTTAAGCATCATTATATATTTCAGACAATAAACAATAATTTAACGATAAAACGATACAGTAAACTACTAGAGTGATAACACCAAAAGTATGAAAGGGTAAAATGCCAATTATGAAGTACAATGGAATTCAGCCCTTTTCATGAACTTATGTTTGCACTCGTACTATTTAAGAATATCAAACAATAAAAACTTATAAAAACCTACCATCTTGTAGCAGAGTTTTTGATTCAAACAAATGAATCGGTGACAAATTCTCTTACGAGAAAAACTTGGCGACAAAGTTGGAAGGCATAATGAAGATACCCAGAGTTCCATTCGAATTTTTGGTGCAAGCAAAGGGAGCCCAAGCCTATAATTATTTGTAAAAATCATGAAAGTCAAAAGGTTGCGCATATTAAAACTTGACTTTATCTTCACTTGATCATCTTTCAACTCCAGAGGAATCCATATAGTAGAATTATCGAGACATTTTTGACATCAACTCAGCTTATGGATAAAGACGGGCTTCCTGTGCTGGTAGCACGACATGTCTTGCTTGTCAGCAGTTTTCTCCATTACATCAAGTTTATTTTGGTTCCTAAATGGCGAAATTCCGGTCAAAATGAATTATGAAATGAAACCTCTGCCATCTTTACCTTAATCTAAAATACAGACTCTTCAATATGAGTTGGATGAATATTTTTAGCAGTAGTTCTGCACCCAAGTCAAGCATTCCACCAACCACGGCACTGCAGCAACAAAGACTAAAACAGATCGACACTTTAAAGAATTTCCACCACAAGTAAGCTTCATAAACAAAATGATTTAACATTACTAGCATATTCTCAAGTGCCTATAGATTTGTAACACAAACGTCTTTGGGACTCTAAGCCTTGTATTTATCGTATTATCAGTTTCTCTGCGAAGAGAGCTACTTTTCAGAACAATAGCTGTGTTCGCAGTAATTATTAGTAAATATCCAATTGACAATGTGATTGATTTCAGTGTTACCGAAGTGCAAAGAGATATTGAATATAGAATCACCTTTTACGTCCATGGAGCTACAATGTCATTCAATGTGTATGTAAAAACATATGATTATAATTGATGAAATTGTAAATGTGTGAGCAAAGGGAGTGATTTAGGTCATCCAATAAGGTTGGCAGACCTTGCTGACATTTGTTGTACCATAATTCCACATAACAAGGGACTGATGTTTCTCTTCAGAACTCTACCTCCACAATTCCCTAATGAAAAACCTGTTGTAACTGTTTCACCTCCTATTCAGCATCCGTGGGTGAATGATCAGGTAATCAGTTAACTGTCATTCATTTATTCATCCATTCCTTTATCCATCTTCCCATGTATTCATCTAACCCACTTGTTCAAGTATCGATTCACAAATGTCATTAGTTTATATCAGATCTATTTATTCATTTACATACTTAATTATAACATCTATTTGGTTTCAGATGGTTGTTGTAGGATGCCCTTCATTAAATATGGTAAATATATACAACGTCTACAATCTTATGTAAAGTTTTAATGACACAATCTTCATATTGTGATTTATTAATCAGTCTTGTTTAATTACATTAAGTTCTACATGCATTCTAACCTTGGGAAGGCAATACAAGATGTTATCAAAGAGTTCTGTGATGGTCATCCACCTCAGTTTCTAACTCCACCATCATCTACAATTCCTGGATCTTTGTAAGTCAAATCCTGGAATTTAGTCTCTTTATTTGTGTCATGGTATTTTGTGTATTCTGTCCTTTGCAATGGACCATGCATTAAATAGATAAGAGTTAATAGTCAGTACTGATACCTAATTCCTTATTAGGCCATCTTCAAATCTCAGTGGTTACCAACCCTCATCGACCTCAAGTTTCACTGGTTACCAGCCTCTTGCTAATCCCTATTCCCCAATGTCATTTTCTCCATCAAGTGGCAGTTCTACAATGTTCTCAGGTCTGTCAGGGACAATGACATCTACTGTTATGTCAACACAGGTAGTTAAATGCAGACATTCATAGGAATACATGATGGTATCACTTATTATCAGATTTTGGGCTGTACCTCGAGTCCTCAGGGCCGGGTTGCTCGAAGCCTGATTAGCGCTAATCCCGGATAAACTCTTAGAAAACCTAGGGAGTTAACCCTGGATTAACACTAATTGGGCTTTGAACAAGCCGGCCCTGGATTTCTGCATAAAATATCCTGTTTTTTTAAATAAATGTCAAAACTGTCATGCTGTTATGTACCAAAAAATGGGACATGATTTATGCATAAATTACCAAAGTGAAATATTGATGATCTGTGGCCTTTTTTTAATAAATTCTTGGTGGATTCATCAATCATTTTAATTTTTAAAGATTGCTTGGTGTGGCAGTCATGTATTTTGGCCAATACATCTAGTAACTGGCTATTGTCTTGCAGTCAGATATGCAAATCTGAATTAGGCTTTGGGAAAAAGCTGGGCATGTCCAAAATCATGAAATATATATTTGCATAAATCAAGACAAAATACTTTTGGCATGCATGCTACCACAATGTATTTATCTGAAAATGGTTTCCAATGAGACAAAAATTTAATTGTAACAGAATGAAACAATATAATACTTGTGGTAATTATCTAATTGTCCTGTTTTCTATGAAGGTTGATTCATCAAACAACGCACGGCGTCCAGTTGTATCGTCAGAATTTCCTGGTTTAAATGGCCTAAGGTATGACAGTTTCTTAAAAAATTAAAAAAATTTTTCCAGCTTCTCACTTTGTTGCTTGTCTGTGTTTTTTAGTTTAAAGGAACTAAAAGATTTAAATGATGATGTAAAACTAATAGATGAATTTATAAAGAATAACATGGAATCTGTGAGTAAAATTTGTTTTGAAATATTATTAAAGAAATAAAGAAATACATGATCGAATTGTCATTTTAGTTGAAACAACTTCATGAAAAAAAGGATCAAGTAATAAAAGAAAATGAAGAAATTGCAAGTAAGATTAATGTTAGGTGTGACTTCAATCATAGTTAGTAATGGCATGCATTATTGTATTCGGAAGGGGCGTGGAAGAAAGTACCAGTTTACCGAATGTCAGAATGCTATTTATAGCCTAGATATAAGCCACATTTTTACGATTGGATGACTGCATACTGACCCACCCTTTTCTTACCCTTTATTTTTCTTTGCGGCCTCATCTGTTAAAATGTTGTTTTGTAGGATATAATCTCTCACTACAGCCAAAGTTTGAAGCTTGTAAAGATAGTATTCTGCAATGTGTAAGTACTGACAAAGTTTTCTTGGCATAGTGAGTGTACATTTTTACTAATTGCTCACAAAGGATACTCATGACATCTCGAGTACGTAAACCAGAATTTGAAGTTTTTGCTTGTTTTTTTTTAAGTGAATAGCACAACAAGCAAGCGGATAAAAGAATGAATACCATAGAAACATTTTGGCTATAGCTAGCGTAAGAGGAGTTGCAAAATTGACGATTTTCGTCACTGGAGATCAGTTATTAGTCGCGCACCTTTGAACAAACTTTGTTAAGAATTAGAGCAGGCTGTTCCTGGCCACTTCTCTTTGCAAAGTGTTGCAAAGTAGGTCAAGTAGCTGGGTAATTGCAAATACTTACTTAGGATTAAACTGCGCAACTAGTCCTATCTGTCATCACGTCTCAAACGGGAAAATGCCGCACTTTACCTTTATTTAAAAATACCAATTTTTCAACTTCTGTTGCGAGGTGGCCAACCCAAGCTTGCGAAAAGATTTGTTAGAGATCAATAGCATGCCATAGAATAAAATAAAAAAAACGTTTTGTATTTCTATAAATATATACATATAAAAACTAGAACAGAAAACAGTAGCCAGATTATTGTTTTTTCTTGATGTGCCATGTGTTTTCTGCTTTCTTGTATATTAACCAATCGATTCTTGAGACTTTCAATCGTTTGTTCGCATTGACAATTGTGACTATCTTGTTTGGATATTAAAATGTCCATTTCTTTTTCCATCCGTTTCTGCTGTTTCATGCTGTTTTCTAATTTCCTCGCAAGATTTGTTCGTATCTTCTCCAGTCTGCATATTTCGTCTTTTTTGAGATTCATTTCTGCTCTTGCAAGAGCTATTGCGTTTTCGTAAGCCTTCAGTTTATTGCCTTTCGACTTAAAAGGAAGCTTGACGGACTCGTCCATCAAGAGAAATGTCTTTTAAACTCAACCTTGAAACAATATTTCTGGCAAATTGTAGTGATGGAAAAGTCCAAAGACGATTGAAATCAACTGCACGTTACCTGCTTCTTGTGTTTGAGAGCTCCAGCAACTTTTGGACTTTCTTTGTTTGTTACGTGTTTGCTGACGTAGTTAATGCTCGCTCAAGAAGGCTGACAAAAATATCGCATGCTCGAATTTGAAAACGAGCAGTTTTAATGCACGCTTTTATGTTTTCCTAATACTTTTAAACGAGTCTTAAGACATTTCTCACCATAGGGCTACATGAATTGACAACTAAAAGTTCTGAAAGAATCTACTTATGATTTTGTATGTGCGCCTGCGGTATTTTTTGGAGAAGCGCGCATTTTTGCATTAGTTACGTCACAATAGCTTATTGTCGGATCGAATAGCGCCACAATCCGAATAAGAAACTTCTTAACTAATCTCTTCGTTCCCATTTTGCATTCTAGCATGCACTTCTTGCAGAAAAGACACAGAACTTTGCTCAACAAAGCCAGAAGCAAAAAGATTTAAGCGAGGTTTGTTGTCATTTCATGGAAATTGCGCATTTACCGTTTCAAGACTTGCGCAAGTCTCATGATGACTTGTTCATTCGTGTAATTGATTAAATTCTAATAAACAATGATACGTTATCAGGAACCGGCTCCTTATACGTTATGTGTAAACGAATTTGTTTTTCCTTCATGTAGACGTATTCTCTTCGAAATATCCACACCAATATGGAGGTTGCTGCTTCTGAAGCTGATCAGGATTCAGAGGTAATGACATGTTCACATCTGTACACCAAATGTCATTAAATAGAAGGATTTCATTTGATTCTGCTTTCTTTATCACTTCCGTCTCCTGTGTCCACACGTAGCGGATATGAATCGTGTGCGACCGTCCACAAGTATTCGTCACGAGACCGGACATCTGAAAGGAAGTCATCGTATACAGAAATTTTCACCCCGAGCGTATTCAGGAATCTCTGAAGGCACTGCGGAAGTACCAAGGGTACACTGTGGACACGTATGGACGCTTACTATCCGAATAAAAGCGTTTGATAAATCTCTGGGCTGGTGTGGAAGGGGCCTGTGTGCCTCCGTAGCAAAGACATAGAAATAGAAAAATACTATATAGATGCCTTGCAGTTTGTGGGAATGCAACTACAACTGGAGGATAAAACAATGGATTCTAGTTCCCAAGAGGGCAAAAATCTTTTGTTTCATCCTCCAGATCCTGCTGCTTTGACGTCACATGCAAGGGGTCTATAGAAGCTGATACCGAATGCAGGTAGATGGGAATAGGTGTAATTTAATCAATTGCGGTATTTGGCAGTTGTAGTTTAAGCCATAGTTAATAGAAATTTCCTAACAAGATGTGTCATTGTGGTGGTTTTATTTTTCGGTTCACAATCGATTGTTCAATAAAGTTTATTGTCAGCTAGCTAATAGTTTTCATATTATTTTTCAGGAAATTGCCGATAGATACTTATTAGGTAAGTCGGTTTTGTTTCAAGACTGCGGTTTATGCCTTGTGCGTTCGTTTTTAAAAATGAAAGACCAACCCCAACAATCAACTTATATTCATTAATAAGTATTTCATGAATGCAGTTCAGTCAAGCATTCACGAAACGGATTCCCCGACAAGGAAGACCTTGATAGATTTCCATAGGCCTCAATGAGTGGACAATTTTCAAACGTCCAATTCCGGTGGCTAAGCTCGAGCCAATAGCATTCATTTTAACACTCATTCATTTTGTCAGGTGAGATCAAAACAGACGAGTTTATTCAGACGTTTATGGAAAAGAGAAAGGTAAAAGAATTGAAACACAAAGTTATGTTCATAGACTGTCTTTTAATAATTTTGCTTTAATTTCAGCTTTGCCATTTACGACGAGCAAAAGAGGAAAAACTAAGAAATATTCATACCCATTTTTAAAAGATGAGTAGAGAAAAAATTGAAAAAGGCGAGGAAAAAACAATGAGAAACTAAATAGAAAACAAAGCAAATACAGCACTGTAGGTAATAAAATGTACAATAAAGCGATTTTAATTTTGTGTCAACGCACATGTATATAAAAATAAAATTTGAATCTTGATATCGCTCAGTCGAACTGAAACAAGAAATATGCCTGTACAGTTATAAACTCAACATCTGTACAATTAAAAGAAGCAAGTGATAATATCACGTGCATCTACTGATCAACTGTGCAAGGCCAAATCGAAGCCTAGTAAACAGAACAAGCGTTATGATTTCATACTGTGGAAGACTTGGTACAAGTCCCCTAGATTGCACTGTTAATAACACAATAGAAAACTTTAGCGTTAATTGTATCAAATGAAAAAAAAGTACAAAGAAATATACAGCCTACCGTAATTTGGACAGTTGCAAATATTTCTTTACCGGTCTCCCACGGTATGGAATCGGCCAATAATGGCGGCAAGTGTACAAGTAATGTAAAAAATATATATTATATATGTCACAGAAGTATATTACGGACGAGTTTAAACGTAAAAGTAAACACTAAAGCATAGGTTCTCATCAAAAGTATTAACAAAAATTATACTGAATAATATATACGATACAGCAAAGGTTATGAATCTCGAGTAGACAGCTTAACCCTACGCAATTCATCTATAAGCCTTTCTCTTTTTTGGGTTAAATGATTGATCTTTGCTTCGCGAATCTGACATCTTCGTTCTAACTTCATAATCGCGTCCTCCACTTCTTCTTCGGCGTCGTGCATTTCACTTCCATCGCCATGTTCCAACGTTGACGAGCTGCTACATGTACTTTCGGTCATGTGTGGTGTTGGAGAGCTGGAAGCAACCCTGTTTTGTGTTTCCAGACTGAACACTTCGACGTCGCTCTGCTCATTATATGAATCGGCTTCGTAACCTTCGTCTGACGATTCTACTGAAGGTCTCTTCTCTGGGGGTTCAGTATCATCCTGGTCGTCGTTGTCCAGGAGCGATCCCTTGCGTTTCGAGCCACGTCTTTTAAAAACAGCCTTGTGAGTACCTTCATAAAGTTGCATTGTCCATTCGTCATAGTCACAGATAAAGTTGTCGCCTTCACTTCTCTTTTCGAGAACGCCAGCACATCTGACATAACCAGTCAATGGTCTATCAAGATGCTCTTCACCATCCTTGTCCACTGCGCCGTTATCTTGAATAGAAGGACATACTTCTGCATTCGGTTTGTCTATATTTGCTGGTCCTTCGGAACACGATATTTCTGTACTTTGCGGCTCTGAAGACATTTCCGAGGCAACTTCATCGTCACCAACTGCTGTTGTACAATATCCTTCAGTGTTGCCATTACTTGTCGTTGTTGACGGTTTTGGTGAAGCCTGATCCTCGACTTCCCTAGGTTTGTTGCTATCAAGTTCGTTTATTTCATTAATGTTTAAGATTTCAGAAGCATTACCAATCTCTCCTTCCTGGACAAATGTCTGCAGAAGTTCCCTCATCTCCTTTAGCTCTTCTCTTTCATGCAAGAGTTGGTCGAGTATTGTCCTTTTCGTCTGGTTTTGTAGTTCTTCGTGGAAGCTCTTGCGCAATAATTGGATTTTTAGGATACTCTTTTTGATCTTGGTAAGGAGTTTTCCCTGTGAGGCAAACTAAAGTTAAGGTGGCGTTTTGACAAATTAATGATTGATTTTGTTTTTCTTGCCAACTGAGTGTATGCCTGATTAATTTATTGAACCTTTGGCTCAGTGGAAATAATTGCTTGCATGAAACCGATCGATTCTTATCGGTAATTGCGGACAGAGGATTAATTGATTATTGAGTTACATATTGATTGCTAAATATTCAATTAAATCTTAAGAAAACAATAATAAATATAACTTACCATGTCTTTCTCATCGGTCGGTAGTTCAGCCAGCGGTTTATTTGGTGATTTGGCTATGATCAGTTGTTTGGGTTCGGACGATTCTTTATTCTGTATCAAAACACTTTGTTTAGGTTCTGATGATTCTTTATTCTGCATCAAAACAAAATTATCATTAAGTTACACTATCATTATTGATAAAGCATGGCTTTGACTGATTGAAGGAAATGCAGCCGAGTTCAAGCACAGTACAGGAATGGATATGTTCAAGTGTAACGCACACTTCCACCTACTTCACTTATGCATACTCATGGACCGTCTTCAGCACAAAAGAAAAAGACTGATTTAACAAGCACCGTGCTTGATGAAATCCAAAACATTCCTGTAATTTTGACACAAGAATTGCGCACGCACAATCATACCGTCACTTAAAAATAACTTACTAAATCAATAAATCATGTGCCTTCTACGATGTTCGTACCACACCCAATGTTAAGGCCTCATACGGATGAGTTATTACTTCTCGAAAACATTGTTATCAGTCAACTGACTATTTTCAGTTTAAAGATTTTAATCAGCAGTTTTTATGGTGGCCGAAAAAGAAGGCAACTATGTCCGAAAGGGAGGTCCCCCCTTGTGTGCGCGGCGGCTGATGGTTCTCAAATATTTTTCATCATACAATAGAAACAAACCTCGGCATAGGAATGCATCGTTGCGTTCTCATCACTTGCTGTAGATTTTGGCTGTACTTGCTGTAGCAGTGGCCCAATATTTCGTCGAGGAGGATATACCGTTGCTTTATCAAGTTCGTACATTAAATGACTGGGTGCTGAATGAAGAGAGTGTACGGCGACAAGTTTGGGAAGATCTTTGTGGTCATACGCCAAGCCACATGAACGACGCAATGGACTGGGCTCTGACGGCTGCTTTGGAAGTATAAACCGTGGCGGGGACACTAGGGCTAAAAAGGAGTTATTAACTATTAGCTGGTTATAATTATCTATCAGTTTTTCAGGCAACAATTAGGTTCATATGCGAATGTAATTACTATTGCTCGTTTTCAGCCATTCTCATGAGATTCAAAAGATCAGCGTCCATGTTGATTGAATTAATAATAGATACTAATGAAAAATCATTTGTTTGAAGTTCAATCAAGATGGCCGCTGTGACGTACATTGAACGAAGAACCATCTTCATGACTAATTGGGATTGCTGTGTAATGCAAATAATTGTAAAAAATGTTGGTGAGTCTTATCAGCCCAAAAGCTATTGTGAGCAAAGGAAGCCCACTGTTGAGAAAATCATGTACTACTGAGACTGAAGAATATATAATAAATGCGGATTCCTTGTCAAAAGCCCCCCATACCAACATATAACCCCTATAAAATAATCCTTGCTTATTGTATAAGTACATACATTGTTGACCTGTGAACCATGGGGGACTATTGAATGGAGGATTCCTTTCCTCTATGCACATGTTTTCCATATTTTGGTATTTCTTGAGACAACACAGGTCACAAAGACAATCAGTTCTGCAAATAACAAGGAAAAGCCATCAGTTTAAGTTTCGAATATAAATCTCAATCACCCCCATGTCAGTCACTGTGTCCTCCAATATGGCGGATAAAACAGACAACTTTTTCATATGAAGCCTTAGAACAGTATTATTACAAGTATGCATTACATTTGGCACATGTGAGATGCGACGCATTAATGAGAAATACCGTACAATTGCCGTATTTTTGACTGTAGAATTTAATTGATCTTTTCGCCACATCACGCATTTACTTGTGAATGGCATTCGGCACATGAATTTTGGCAAACAAACGGTACCTAAGAGTCCGCAATTGCTCTTGTAAACAGTTTCCTCCACCGCGGCATCAAAATTTATCAAGTGCATGCTTTCATCAAAATGAATTAACAATGGTGAATCTAGTTTTAATATTTGCTTGCTTCTTTTTATACGGTTCTTTCGCCCGTAAGTCTCTCATTAGTGTTCCTTTGCTGCTGCTGTTTTGTTCCATTTGTTTGACATGCTTCTATAAGGGTTTTCTTTCGCTTGCTGTTTTTTTTTCGAGCTTCGGCTTTGAAATAATGCGTTCATAAATTAATTTGTTCTTTTCTTTCTTCCTCCCTTTTTTTCTGTTGTTCTTCTTACCGTTTTATATGTAACAAGACCAACTTCCCTAATAATTCTGAAAACACATTTCTCTCAATCACAATGTTACAAAAATTCAATCTGTTACTTACTTTTTTTCTTTCGCGCCAAAAAAAATACTCAACAAAATTGTTTTGCAACACTTTCAGACAGCCTTCAATTAAAGTGAATTCCTTTGTTTAACAACGTCATAATGAAATTTCTACACGTCATAACGACACGACTGTGACGTAATAACAGAAGGGCGCGCGCAAAGGATCATTATGGCGATCGGCCAGTTGATCACGTGTTTGATCTTAGCCAATCAGCGCGCGATTTCAGACTGAAGGAAGGCACCATCCCACAAAGCATCGCAAGCTGTGAATATTTTCTCACAGTATCAAATTCGAACTAGAAATTAACCTTACAAACCGGCACATATATTAAGTTAAACGATTATGATTTGAATTTCATGCATTTAGCAAGGTTCGAAATAACGTCTGGACTTACGCAGGACATAACTTAAATCAGACACTTTTTTAGAAGGTCATGATTGATTTTTAAAGATAGGGCTGGTAAATATGTCCTTTCAAATTCCGATTTGACAGGAGATTTTAGCAAATTTGGAAGGACATTGTCCTCTCCTTATTTCGAGACCTGAGCTAGACCACGATAATAATGCGCGCGCTGAATGAATCCATCAGTTCCTCGTGTACGCGGGCTAATCGTCTGACAATGACTGGAGAATATTCGACGACTTCCTCGATCTTAATTAGTTCTTTTGTTCCAAGTCATTTAGGATTAATTAAAAGTAAAAATAATTTCTCTTGACCTTTTTTGGTATGATTTGATTTGATAAATTATATTTATCTATCAAATTCCTAGCCCTAAAAGATTACAAATTTCCCAGATTTATCTAATTTCGGCCTTGTCAACGCTTCACAAAAGTCCGGACATGCGATTATTTTATCTCAAATAAAAAATTCTCACGCTGTAGAACTTGTCATGATAGCAAGTGTCACGTACTAATTATCAGTTTATCAGTCGTTTATAATGCAGCCATTAACAAGTGTCAGTAGAGTATCATGTTTGAATGTATCACAGCACATTTTCAATAATAGGAATAATATTTCACCGAAGAAAATTACATTCATTATGAAAATGGTTAAGAAGGAAAATGTTCCTTCGTGCCTGTCGTTTGTTTTGAATTTGCATTTTATTTATAAAAGGAAAGGCAATAGGGACTGACCATTTGAATACTTTTTGGAGTGGGGTTTGACAAGCTGTGGGTAGAAACAATCTGGGAAAGGAATCCAGAAATCTTGTCGTGTGTGTCCTCGTGGTATGATAAATATCACTCTTCACTACAAACTATAATGGACAGCTGTCTATATTAGAGATATGCTAAAAATAGTTCAGCAAGCAACGTGGTTTTATCAAGGAAATGTAGTTTTGACAGCGAAAAAGCAAAACCACACACAATTAAAATGTATCAAACATCGTGCCAGTTCTTGAAAATATTCATCTTTGAATTGTATATTTAACTTTTGTTTCGATGGAGTTTGCACTGTGCGTTTATTCGAGTAAAATGCTCAATCTTGTTTTGAAGTTTATTATCAACTTTAAAAAAATTCAACACTAGGAAGTCAAAACTCCAACAAAAGCAAAATAGTTTTGATAAATAAACAAATTACTAAATGATATGAAGTTTATTAAAATTCCATTGTTATCGTTGTTTCTGGACCTGTTGAGGTGTGAAGTCATGTCGGAATTGTAATTCCTATGCAAGCCGCTGCTTATTACCAATAATTAACATAAACTCGTAGAAAAAAACTTAAGAGTGAATTCATCAGCCTTTAGATAAAAACCTTGCTTTGTGATAAAGCAAATTCAATCTTAAAACCACTAGTAGCAACTTGAATAAGTTAGCGTATAGCAGAGTCTTGCACATGCCGTGTCAACACAAATATGCCAAGTTTTTATTATAATTTCGTGATCAATCCAAACTCGAATAAACAACGGATCCAGAACACTTGAAAAAATCCAAGTCAATGACAATAGTAAGCTACAACTATTTCTTGCTTCGGCTATTTTCAGAGAACGGCAAGCTCCTCGTGACACCGCTTCAAGCTTTGACAACTTGAAAACGCGCGGGAGTTTTGGTTCATTCACAACTTTCGCTTCGTTGCTTTTTGTTGCCAAAGTTGAAAGAAAATTGAATATAAACGAGATGTACTTCTACGAACCTGAACTCAATGATATCTTTCCTTGGACACGCGTAAGTGTGGTCCATGATGACTTCGCCTTCCCAGCCAGCAAACATACACGAAGGAGTGCAAAGTGACCTTTGACGCACAGGATTCACACGTTCATTGACAACTACGACACAGGGAGCCCAAAAGTAAAAATAGAAATTACATCACAAAATCTATTGTTATTTATTACCAATGATATGTATAATTACGAACTATGTAATTAACTTTAGGTAAGGCATTTTGAATCAGCATTCGGTTTTCTATATCGCTTGTTGAACTTGTTCGTTTGCTGGACATCGTCAAGTATCCTTCCCTCGGCGCGATCCTAGATTTCGATACGACAGGTAGAGGCCAGGAAGCGGCGTTTCTCTTAGTTTTAACGGTACTTCCTGTACTAGCAACTTATCTGATTAACAAAATAGGATTAATCTCATCTCAATTTAATAATTAGCGAGGTGTGAATTCCTTCGCTAATTTGAAATACCAGACCACAGAAAATGGACATGGACTTATAGTGCAAAATGGGCAAGGTTGTATTTATACTATATCAGAAACCTATAAGGGACTTGAAATTCAAGTCCCTTATTAATAGGTTTCTGACTATAATCAGTAATATACCTTCTTATCATAATCATCATATTTTAATCTTTTCAGCACGAGAAGATCGGTATCTACGCGCGCCCAACCTCTAAGTATACTTTCACACACTAAAAAAACGTATATGTTATTTACGGGCTGGGAGGTCCGTATAGGAAAACACTGCCCGAGGTCTTGACAGTAAGGATCGAGCGCAGCGAAGACCGAGGGTAGTGTTTTCTTATACGGACCGACCTATAGCCGGTAAATAACATTTTTATTTGGTTGTATTTTATACAACTTTGCTCGCAGCCTGTAGCTGCAGGACACCGTGGACTTGTCCGGACAGATCGTGATAAAGATACTAGGACTAAAAATGACTAGGATACCCGACCGAAAACGATATATACTGATGCAATGATTTAACTTTGATTGTATTATGTATTTACGTTTTATTAACTGGTGATTAGTAATTTTTGTCGTGTGACTTTCAGCTCAAACCAAGCCGTTCGCGATTTGTAATCATCGGCTATTTCCTCCTAGAGATTAAAGTAATAATATACAACGAAAACTACAGTAATTACTTTCAGTCAGTTTTGACTTTTTTACAGCAAAGTCCAACCACCCATCTTCCTACGGATATAAAAAAGATCAACACCACAGCTACTATGGTAACCAGGAAGATCATGATGTCAAGCAAGAAGTACTGATACCATGGTATGTCGAGGACCGCTGGACGCAAATGTTTGGTGCCATTATGTCTGAGTACATATTCCAAATGATCAGCGGCTTCTTGCACCGGGGTCCTTTTGCGGTCTTTGAGAAGTTTGGACACTCGGGTAGCATTTGCTCTGAAACTGAATGAAAATGAAACTGATCTCTTCATTCACATAAACCTCAAAGGTCAATAATGTATAATGGTCAAGGAATTACTAGTTTTCACACAAAACTTGGAGGACTTCCTCAGAAAACCAGAATTAGTGACAAATGGACATGCCTATATAATGCAATTCCAGCATTAATACATGGTATATACTTTCAGGGGTTAAAAAGCCTTTCTATGCATTAGCCTCCTTTGCAGGTGTCTCAATTCCTTTCTGCTCTTCTTTTTGCTTTTAGGCTTCCTATCTTCCTCATGACTGCTGTTTTCCAAGGCTCCCACTTGGTCAAGCGAAGGAGGCTAGCCGAACATATCACATTTTTCAATTGCTGACAAATACCTTGGTTCATAGAGCACCCTTTCTATGGCTGTAAGTAGTTCATCTGCTGTAATACTACGAATCTCTACAACGATTCCTAGGCCAGCAGCTTCCATCATTGCACCATTATCAAACTGATCCCATAACAAAGGGGTCCCAACCATAGGAATGCCATGATAAGCTGCTTCAAACATCCCATTGTGACCCAAATGGGTTATAAACAATTTGGTGTTCACATGACCAAGGACATCATTCTGAGGTATCCACTGCAACACTTTTATATTTTTGGCCACAGATATTGTTGGCATATCTAGGATGATAATATCAAAAATGTATCTGAAAAATCTGAAAATGACATTGGGGAAAAGTTGTTCTCTGCCAACAGGTTAATATGGTTGAATAAAATTGTGCAACTTGATTAGCTTAGAGGAGCAGTATTAATCCTTAATAGTGGTATTTCAAATTCACAATTTTATTCAACCATTTTAATAAGAACAAGTAATAGCATGTTTTGTGTTTTGGCATTAAATTGATATACACATACATGCCACCTTTCTACCATTCACAGGTGATATATATATATAATTCTCATTAAATACAGCCTTTTGCAAAAATTATGAGAATTGTTGAAACACCTAAATATCATAATATCGAGCGTATGATGGGTAATCCTGTGCGATGCCCTTAGTCCCTTGTCTTTGTAGTTTAGTTTTTTTTGTCGACAGACTTATCCGTAGTTCTGAACAATTTCTCGATGTCAACAATGAATTATTCTAGCAAACCCTCGTGTTCCAGACAATATATGGATATGGATATTATGATATTTAGATATTTAGACAATTCTCATAATTTTTGCAAAAGGCTGTAAGATTAGCTATATTTAAGAACCTGTGTAGCCTTAAAATCGACTAAGCACCATTTACATAAGAACCCGTTTAGGCTAAATTTGAATAAATGGGTTCTTATAAGCGGGTAAGTACTGTATTTTAAAATTGTCATATAAAAAAATATACCACTACAAAACATGCTATTACCTATACACTTAAAAAACACGGCTTTGATAGTAAAATCATCATCATCATCAATGGCCATAAAATTCTAGACTCAAAAAAAAATCAACTGAGTTTTAAGGAAATTTAAAATGTCATACCTTTCAGTTTCCAAAGCACTTTTTGCTTCAGATGACCAAAAGCTGTATTCATTTTGTCCATGATATCACTCCCTAAAATAGCTGCCTCAGCTTCTGAGCCAAATGACACCACAACCACCCCCTCAGGAGAGTTCATGAAATTCTCCAGTTCATCTGCCAAAGGTTTAGCTGGTTCAGGAGAAAGTGGACCAATTGTAACTGCAGCTATGAAATGATGATATCAGAATATTATAATGATGAAAATGAATTGAGTTCTGAAGATAGATTCCTGTTTTGAGATACACTAGAGATATGCTATATACAAAATGTTTTGAGTATAAAATTTGAAATTCCACAGGTTGCTGTTGGGTTATCTGAAGTTGATGAACATTATGCAACACCATTGAATTCCATTGAGTTTTAAAAAATTCACCATGAACACTGGCAATTCACTTATAATGACTGATGAGTTATGATAAGTGTGGTATTAGCTCACCTGGAGGAAGAGGCCTTGCATAATTAATAACAAAGTCAGTTTGCATCAAGACTAAATCACTGTCACAGTCTGATTCCCAGTAACCCTTTTCAGGTGTGATGTTATAACGAGCCTTTATTTTGTTGCCAACACCCGTAGCATACAAGTAAAGGTAAACAGACACTATTGAGAAAGAGACAACATTTCCAGCACGCTGCAAAAGGTTCATCCTGTTGGAAAACCCAGTTCCCATGTTGGGAATGTAAGAAAGTGGCATAGGTATGCCATGCATCCAGGAATGCAACGTCGGGGGAACAAGACCACTGTAGAATACTACTCGTGGAATTTTCAGTAGATCATGGATGGCTGATGCACATAAAAGTGATATGTCATTTATCATGACATCACAGGATTTAAACTGATCTATTAGTTCATTGTCAGTAAAAATACAGTCACACAGTTTAGTGTTCAGTTCCTCCACCAATGACAATGTCTGCATTATGCTCTTTTTGCTTCGTAAGAGTTCTGCTGCAAGATCCTCATGGAGACCAATGGCATCAGTTTGTGCACATGTAACGATGTTGACATTAGGGTGAATTTTGGTTTCTTTCTGTTTACTTTGAAAACCAAGCATTACAACCTAGAATATCAAGGTTTATAGTACGTTGGAAATGTTGGAGTCCATACAAACATAGAAGTGTGAACAATGCATAGCATTTTTTAGTGGTTAATTTAGAAAGGTCAATTCTGGTATTTTGATTGGTTAGGGTCAAAACTTATGCATCCACTGCGAGGCTGAGTGATAATATAGTATAAACTTATTCCAAACTTTCAAAAAAGAAATTGACAGTTGTCAGTTTCCCACAGGAAACTGAAAAACAGTATCTAAGCTGAATGATGTTTTAACTGTGTTTATATAAAAAAAAAACAACAGAAATCTATGAAAATGACTCTCAGAATTAACCCTATTGATCCCTGTTGGTATTATTCTATTAATTATTTTATTGCTATAGAGGAGATGAACAAAAATTAATACCCATTATAAGGTTTAACAAAAAGAAGGCCAGCTTTAAATAGACAAAATTTCATTGTTTACTCCAGCTCACTGGAAGAATAGTGTGACATTTTTACATTGTCCATCTTTTTTGGCATATCAACTCTAATATTAATTCTGCTCTAAAAATATTATAATGCATAATATTATAATGATTATCCTGGGCTGGTTATTTATAAGCAATGTTGCGTGACATTTGAAAATTGTTTTAATTCCGTTTTCTTCGTAGCATATAAAGTCCCGAAGTATCACGCGGAGAATAGCTTCACATTTTAATATACTTTATACTTATACTTTATATAAATAAACTAATTCAGTGTATAAACGATACATTGACGAGCGATTTTCCTCACCTCATGTCCTCGTTCAGCAAGCTCTTTGGAAATTTTCTTCATTGCAAAGTAATGACTGTTGGAAGAGTAGGGGATTGCGAGAAACTTTGAGGAGTTAACGACGGTAGCCGCAATCCCTACAAAGAGGGCCACAAAGATCTTATTAACCCGAAAGCTCATGTTGACATTTGATAGCACAGGAAATCCAACTTTTCATAGCAGTGCCTAATAACCAGGCTCCAATATAATCCTCTCTTCAGGGAACCCATTCTCGTACCCAGACCCTATTTCATCTTCCGCTAGAGGCCGCGAGAGTAGGATCTGGGTACGAGAATGCAGGGAACCTAATCAGATTCCCTGATTTGGAGAACACAAAAAGGGGATTGGCTGAACCCACTTGAAAATGAACTAAGAGTTTTCTTTGGAATTCTATGACAGAAATGAACAAAAAACTGTAAATATATTTTTATTTCCTTTCCCATACAAGAATAGTTATTAATTTTTTTTTCTAAAAATATTCGTCGATTACAATTTCACGTAATAAAGGCCATGAATTCGATATGTACGTATATTCTAAGAAAACGAATACTTTGAGTTCAATCTTTCCCATATATTACGCGAGCTTGTCTCATCTGTTTTTTCTTTCTTTCTCTTAATTTCACATTCGCTCTCATGGAGGCTTTTGCGTTTCCCAATTTTCTGTTCATATTTCTCCTTGTGTTGCATTTGTGCATTTTCGTCATCTGATTCACTCCCAACATGTCCGTTTACTGTTTGCTCATTGTCTGTTGATACAGCTTTACGCTCATAAATAGGAGACAATACGGCATTGGGGTTTCCAGGTGATGAATCATTACGATATTCACGCTTTGATTCAGTATCTTCTACCTTACCCTGGTCTACAAAGATAAAGCCAATTCCTACAATGTCATCCATGTTACGAAAGCTGTCTTCTGTCATTGTGACACTTTTGACATTATTGTCTTTGTTGCTGTCTTCGTTTGATTTTTTATCGCTAATTTCGCTGACGATTCCATCATTTTCTTTACTTTCGTTGTTACTGTGCTCAGAAAGGATGTTACTGTTTAAAATCTCGTTATTTTCACTGCTGCAATCGGTCACATCGCTAGCGCTGTAACTTGGTTTCTTTATTGCTTCCTTTTCTTCATTCGGAAGTGGGATGTCATCCAAGCTCTTAATGGCCTCTTCCAGAGTCATTGGCTCGTCCTTGACGTTTGCATCTTGATTTCCATTGTCTTGATCTCCTTCCTCGTACACTTGTAGCTCACTTTTTAATTCAGTCGGTTCACAAGTCATTGCCGATTTCGCGCCTTGTACGTTATCACTTAAATGTTGGTCCTGACCATTACTCTCGGTCACCAGGCCCTTTTCTTCTTCCACAACCATTTTTCTCTCGGTAATTGCGGTATGTTCATTCGTTCGATTTTTTCCCTCCTTTTCGGCCTCCACAACTGTTTTTCTCTCGACAATTGCGGTCTGTTTCTCCATTCGAGTTTTTACCCCTTGTTCGTACTTGTTTCGAATCCGCTCTATCTTTTTCAAAATGGACAAACGCGCTTTTAACATGTTCTTTCTTATCCAAGAAACCGTTTGGGTTTTAAGCTTGTTTCCATTTTCTTCAAGCTTTCTTTCTAAGTCGGTTAGGGTGATTTTGTCGTGTGTAGTCAAAATTTCGTGTAAAATGTCATCATACGAGCGAAGAACATGTCCGTTTATCTGCGTTTCAGTTTCCTCCTTTCTATCCGCAGTTTCCTGAAGAGAATGTTCACTGATCATTGCGTTTTCCAATGATGAAGTTTCGTTGCCATTACATTCTACTGGAGATGGTCCACTACCGCCTGACCTCGTTGTTTCTTCTTCAATCAAAGATTGTCCCTCCTCTCGCGCGGTGATAACATGTTCAACGCCTACTTCGTTACCTTTTTCATTCTCAAGAGCGTCATCTTTACATTTATTTTCGTCTATCGAATTGTTACCCGCTTCACCGAGACGTTCAGGCAGAGGCATAACAGGAAATGTAAACATCGGCGTTTCGTCAATTGGTGAGAGTTCAATTTCTTGGAAGGTCTGCTGTTGAGTACAAGGCCTTCCTGTTTGTTTAGCGGTGTTGACCTCACTTTGGTCTTTCGTCAAGAAGGAGGTTTCCTCCACGGGCTCCTGCTTAATTGTAATACGTTCTGGCAAAGACGAAGCATTCTCGATCCAATCATCCACGTCAATACGCTCAATTGGACCTCTCTCATCATCCTTGGTTGTAACTTTGGTTATTACAACATCGTCTTCGTCATCTTTAGCCGATTCCTTGGCTTTGTTAGCTTCATTTGACTTCTTGATTGGGCAGGTCCCTAGCAGTAAACAATCTGTACACGCCATCGAGTCATGCGGAGCTTCCAGCAAGTTCTTGTTGTTAATGGGGTTTGTACTTTTTACGGGTTCAGGTGTTGCTGTTTCTTGGGACAGGATACAGGACATAATCGGGAATACACGAGCGGTCCTTGCTTGGCCGTTGTGGTATCTAGATGAGATACTTGTTGATTGTTGCGTATAGGATTGTCCAGTTTCTCTCACTCTCAATAGCTCTCGCTGGAAACGCTCGATGTTAGCATCTCTTAATCTTTTCATTGCAGCACGATCTAAAGTAGCGCTTCCCCGACCATAATTGATAGCATTTAGATGTTGATTTGTTCCCAAGGGAGTCTGATTGCCAGTTGCCACAGAGCCACGATGGGCGGTGAAAGCAGCCTGATTGATTACCACGTGACTTTGATTGACAGGAGTCTGATTTAAAGTACTCATAGGACGTTGATATGCAGTTCCCGCTTGTATACCTTGGTGGACTGGTTGACTTCTGAAAGAGGCTGCATGACCTTGACTGACAAAGCGCGCGGAAGTTTGATTGACGCTGGTCACTGCGCGCGGAGATTGATTAATTGCAGTGATATAACCTTGACTGACACTATTGGCGTAGCCATGACTGCCTCTATGCACGTTATTCATGTAACTCGAGTGAGATGTGGCAACACTTCTTTCGTAAGCATTATTATTGGTGCCCGTTCGTTGACTATACGAAGATAACTGATTGGAGTTGTTATAAGTTGTCTGACCAAACGGCACATTTCCTTCTTGGTTTTGTTGATTGTATGACACTATGATCTTACTAGCAATCTCGTCCAATAATCTGTTATTCACGGTCGGTTGTATTGACGTCGTTGTGCCTATATTATTCGCCATAGAATGAGACTGCACACCGGATCCTAAACGATTCAACTGACTAGAGTTTGCAATAGGAGCCCTTGTAGCCTGAGTTGGTTCTAGTGTACGGTTAAAATCAATTCGTTTGTTTGCTATCCTTTGTTCATTTGTATTTCCTGCAGAAGAAGCGGACAGTAGCCCGTCAAACGTACCGTTAAGAATGAGTTGAGCAAGTTCTGATATATTCATTTTGCTCGTTATGGGAATTTGCTCTTTAGATAAACTCTGATCTTTACGAGTACTTTCTTTCTCATTGGACGATGACAATTGCGATGTTGCAGTGATTTGGTTGCCCAGCGCTGGGGAGGATTCAACAATACCCTGAACCGAGTGTACAGAACCAATCCTAGGCATCTTCCCCCAGTCGAATGCGACACCGCCACCAGAGTTGAGCTTTCGCTTAGCGACATTGGATTTGTTTTTATTCACGTTTATTTGAGCGAGTACTTCAAGAAGCAGTTGATGTCGAAGATTGACTCTTTCTTGATTATCATCCTTAGTGCTCACTTGACTTGTACTTTGTGAAACTGGCAAGGTATTGTTTAATTCTGAATGTTGTTCCATTGTTGAAGAGTGGTAGTTATCGATAGTATTGTGCGTTGGCTGGTAGACCGTAGAAACAGGCGTAAATGAAGATGATATTGTTTGGCTTCTTGGATCGCAGTAATTGCCAGAAGGGTCAGTGTAATTTCTGGTAATGAAAACAAAAGAAAACACAGTGTTAATAAAAATATATGAATACAGAAATAACGTGGGTTTAGAATGCAAATATATGCAGGTGTTCCACGGTGTTTGTCCAATCATCTGAGTTTTACGCGGAGGTGTTAAAATGTTCGTCTTAATGACGGTTACAAATCCATTGAGCCTTTTTTGAAAAGAACATGTCTATTTTTACACAAAACGAAAAAAAGAAACTCGTTGACAAAAATTATCCGTCTCATTTATTAAGTTATGAAATTAAAAGAAATTGAAACACACCGTCTTTACCACAGCCTTTATAAAAGAATTGTAAAAAATGCTTTGAATGAGAAATAAAGCTATTGTTTTAAAAATGGACAGATCTTTTTTAGATCATCAAATTGTTTTTAACTCTTAGTATACCCTGCGAGCAGGGTCTTATTCGCCTTACCTCGTAGATCGCGAAAGAAATTAGGAACTCATTTACATTATACAAAAAGATATTTTCTCTTCAAAAGGATTTCTAAAAAAACTCGCTTGATAAAGTCTAAAGAATTAAAGATTAACGTATTTAAAGATGGTCTGATCACGGATATTTCACATAATAACTTCCTGATGCGGATGTACAATTCTTGGTGTGCAACCCCCGAAGTGAACATTCATTAGTCGTTATTTTCAAAAACCAAGTAGCAAGTCACAAAGAGCATAGTAAGATTATCTAGAATACGAGCTTTCAATAGCGAATATTCACTTTTAGTTTCTTAGCGTTCTAACTGTTTGGAAGTCTTCTTTTTCTTTTCTACACATGATATAGATAAGTTGACCATTCTTACCTCGGCACATAGCCCATATTTAAAGTTTCACTTCTACCTATGCCAGTGTTGGTATTTTCAACTTGTTTTTGAGCAAGAAACATTCTTCCTTGATTAATCCTTTGTAATTCCGCTTGACTCAGCCTTGAACCAGAATAACCTGCACTGCCAGAGGGCGTTGGCCCTGGGATGTTTTCTACAACAAATCAACACATAAAAACTTAAGAACATGTTATAATTAAACCGAAAATTGTTGATTCTAATGAGTTATGATTACTCTCAGCTCTTCCCTCCGCCATTCAAACAATCCGTCAGTCATCCTAGAGGTGTTTACACAGCGAAGCTTTTTCTATATTTCTATAGTCTCTAGTAGTTAGTCTCTAGTAGTTTTATGTTATATGACAAGATTGGTTTTCATACGAAAAGTAGGAAAGTGATATTTCCTTTACAGGTGGCAAGAAATAGTCGTCAATACACAGCTATTATACAACTAATTATTGATAATTCACAATTTAGACTAATATAACGACATCAATAAAATAAAATTTCTTATATAAGGATGCCTACACGACGTCCGTTAAATTCGAAAGCACATAATTATAAAAATTCTTTATAACAATAGCCTTTTAGAAATCAAAAGTACACAGCTGTTGAAGACAAACAGAAGAGGCTTCTAGGGAGATTACATATACACTAAAGAAAGATGTTCTTGTATCATAATTAACATCGAAATCGCAACGGCCATTTTCGTATTAGAGACGAGATTCTTGTCTGGAACGGAAAACTCAATGGATGACTTGTCTATACAACTGACGAGAATCTCTGTCCCACAGTCAAAATATCAAACAACATTTTTTATGTATGGTCATAATGGTGCCTTTGTCAGTAAAATTGTAAGCCATATAATCAATATTCATACGGTTTGAACACCTGAAGTTACAAAGTTAACTGAGTAAGTTCCGAACAACCAATGTCCAAACCTCAAAAGGTTTTAGACAATAGTTTTTGGCCTATTTTTTTGTTGAAATTGATCTCTCGCGCGCTAAACAGAGAGCGCGAAAAAATCGACGTCCGTTACGTCCAGCCAAAAACGCACGTGTCTCCAATTTACAAAACAATTTGGCAATTCGTTCGATTTTAAAAATGAGTGATTCATAAATGTATACGGAAAGGATTCTTGTTTGAGTGATCTTTTAAAATAAAAGCAAATCTCTGAATGAAAACAGGTTGCATATCCACACTTTAACAGATCAGTACTTGTCGACCAAATATGCAACTAGAATTCCAAGCGTTTACCAAAAATTCACTCAAAAATAAGCTCGAAATAATCTCGAAACAGCTAAAAATCAAAGACCATTACCGTTGTCAGTCCACAGCCTTGATTTCCAGCGCATCTTTATAGGAGATTACTCGTTATAAGTCCATATACTTCAAAGGGCGAGCACTCAAAAGCATGCAAAGTCGAGCCGTTGACAGTTACACTCAACTGGTCAAAAACAAAAGTTACAATTCCACCCTGCGTCTGTGTAACAATTGTAATTAGGGCTCTTTGTCAAGGATAAGTAATAATCAACAATCGGAACGTTTGAACTTGGGCCAATTAGCTTACCATATTCATGAGAAATGGAATCATAACGAGTAACCAATAAATACAAATAAAAAAGCCTTCGATGTGAAGTTGAATTACCAAAAAGAGAAGTCAATACTTTCTTTCCTTCGTTCTATACTTTAACAACAGGTGGAGACATTGTGAAATCCCACGTGCATAGAATCATAAAGTCTGGAAATTCCTGGGCGCCAGGAATTTATAACGGTTAGCCTGGATATGGTTCAAAAGCATTACGAATGGAAATTCCTGGGCGCCTGGAATTTATAACGGTAAACTTGAATACGGTTCAAAACAATTATGAATGTTTGTGAAACGACACTTTTTGCATAATTATATATTATTCATACATACAAAGCATTTGTTGGTGCAACAAACAAACCCATCAAGTACTACATAACTGTCTTTCCTTGCTTCATTCTTGGAGATAAGACGAAGGAGATATACATACAGATGAACGCAGACACTCTTATAACGACCGGCATTAGCCACTGAAAACGACTAAGGTCACTACTTTAGTCAAAAACTGGGGGCCATTTCAAAAATGAAAGTTCGAAATACTGGATTCAATTATTAAGCACGCTTTTAATTCGCGTCAAAATTGTTGTATAATAAACGATAAATTTCACTTAATTATCGAAGTAATTTAAAAAGAATCGGCGAGGTCTTGAACATGCATATCTTTCTCTGCGAAACAAGAAACTTCACATTTTTATGAAGGTTTGTCAAAATCTCCAATGACACACATACAGTCAATTTTATTAACTTGATTCAGTTGCAAAGACATAAAGACGAGAACAAAATCATTTGCATAAAAATTTTTCCCCGAGAATTTCTACTGTAAAATGGATAATCCAATGGATAAAGGGTAGGCATGTTACTCCTTCGTCCATAATTGATGAAGAGATAGAATTCCAATCAAACATCGATCTATAACAAACACTCTTCAGGGAAACCTTCCTTATCAAACCTTGAGTATTCGTCTGCTTTGTTCCTTGCATCTCTAGCGAACTTACTTTAATCAAACAGCTTTAGAAATTTTCAAGATGTCTGAAAACAAAACTTCTGAGCCTTCTACGGCTTCAGAGCCTGGACTAATAGATCTGACAACAACATCTGCAATGGGACCGTCTGTACAATTGATTTCCATTGATTACTTTTGTTTTCTTAAAAATGGAATTCATATCACCGAATTTACCTTTTTTCATGAGCAAACGTTTCGTCCATTGCACAACTGTTTCTTTACAAACACCGACGCACCTCATACTAGTTTAACGTTAGTTTCCACCACGTCGAATCATCATGGTCACGGTGGAATTGAGCCAATCTTCGCAACACGTTTGTAAATAATATCATTTGAAAATTCCAGCGGCGGTGTTATGACGCAATGCTCAATGTGGTGTATTCCTCTTGTAGAAAAAGTCAGGGAATTTTTTTAGGTTTCAATTGCCTGTGATGAGGAACTTTTTCTATTGTTCATTATGGCTGTATTGTACAATGTCGCAAGTAATTTTTTGGAATGTTTTATGGCGCTTTTTAGGAGAAAAGACATTCGACAACATAAAATGTTTACCTCTAATACCGGAAGAATACATCACGTTTCGTAGTTATAAAGTCATACTACAGTCTGTTTCAATAACGATCAGTCATAACGCAATTGTGCGCAAATTTGTAACAACAAGTGGCCTCGTTTCTTAGCAACGAAAATTTTCGGTTCTCAAACAAACKACAATGGTGTCTAAGCCAATCAATGATTGTACGACTACAAATGAGCAAATACTATCTGACAGCAGTCATGTGCTTTGATACGTGTGTTAGATAACAGAATTTGAAAGATTTGTTATTCGTAAAATTTAGATGAATTTCTTATAGCCTTGTACTTTCGATATGTTTATATAAGAGTCCTAGACTGTTTTGGTTAATGTATAGTTACATGTAGTTTCATGTGTGGTACAACCTCCTATGTTAAGGACCACCATCGTCTTAGTTTTGACTAGAATTTGATGGCAACAGGATATCGGATTAGGTTTAGAATTATAAAAGGACTGACTTCATAGCAGTTGCGGGCCAAGACTGAGGCTGTAGTCTAGATCGTATTAGAAAGTACAGACAAAGTGCTATAGTTTGGAATTACTACTACACAAACACTCCGGCTGCGGAAAGTCTTTCTGGTCGAACTTCCTCAACCTCAGCTTGTGCCGAACAAAGTATTCATAGTTTGTAATTACTGTACTTGATGAGAACCAATAAACGAGTTGCAAATCAGAACGATCCTTGCCATTTGAGCGTGTCCTTACACGTGAATAAGAATGTCAATCTTTGTTAATAGAGTCGTTAGTTATTGGAGCAATTGGAGGCTTGATATAGTGAAAGGAAACAGTTGTACTGGCACGTTACCACCAGCTATCAGTGTATTCGTTATTTAGTCACGATAATAGGGATCGCCGACCCATGCGTTAACTACCTGGAAAACAGGCGCCAAGACCAGAGCATTGGAGTACAGGTGTCTTTCAGAAAAACCTTAACGAAACCTGCTAGGTAAATATAATGAGAAAAAGCATTTTTTTTCTATTTATCAGCGGAAAAGATTCACAAAAGAAGGAATGTGACCGGAAGTCCCTTGTGCTTCACTCACGCAAAACAAATGCAGAATAAGGGACAGATTCAAGGGACAGATTCTGAAAAGGTGCATTCGCCATAAAAAAGATAACAAAAAGGGGGAAAAAAGGAAAAAAAAGAAAATAACGATCGATTTCTGAGAGACTCGAACTAAGCCTGTGGGACCTCTGGATGGGCCCGATTTGTGTCACGGATACAAGCTAATATATGGGTCAAAAATCAAACGAGTTTTTCTTCTCAAATTTCGTGAAATCTGTAAATAATTGACTCTCAAATTTCATAGTTTCGACATACATCGTGAAATCTTGCAAAGAAATATAAAGCGCCCAACGGCAATCCATCCACTTGATATTCTATGCATAGATTAGAGTGTACCAAACGTTATTCCAGTTAGCCTGTGAGGCTGTCCATTATTAGCCTGTCCATTCGTGTTGCCGAAACATCACAAAACTATCGTCACACCTCCCAAAACAAGGGAGCAAATAGCCACAACAAAAAGTCAATGTTTCCTTATTAGAATGCTTCTTATTTTAGGAGATATAAGAAACACCCATTACGTTAATCAAAAAGATGTATTTGGGAATTAATTATATCTAGTTCAGTAAAATCACGGGTTAATCATGATGTGTAGGTAAGCGTTACCTGGATTCCACACGACGATAGCGAAGAATTTGAAAACACTGTTCCTCAGTCGGGATATGCTTCGCCTCAGAAGCAAAAACTGTGCTTTCAACGATACAAAATTAGCAAATTTCACCGGTAGATATTAGTGCTTTGAGCTTAGACGATCTTTACCGCACTCCTTGGACAAGAAACTCAATACGCGATCGATTAGTGGGAGAAAACTCCGATAATACCGGTTCAGGTCTTGACCTGCCGTTCACCCACCGGAACGCCCCGACATTCTTTGTAATCCAGTCACACAAGGATAGATAATAGTGTCACGTCTTGGGTAGTGTTAACAGATGCACTTAAACCTGTTTAATGTTTTAGATAGGGCTAAGGCTTGGTTTTTCACCGCTTAAACTCGTCACTAATGATGAGCTTGGCGTTAGCCCCGCATATAGTTTTAGGGGCCGGCCATTTTACTTTTTCGGGAGGGGGGAAGTGGATGATTTTATTTTATTTTATCTTAGTCATCCCAAGCAAGCACTTGTAATTACGTGGGCTTCCTGTGGAAGACCACGTCTAAAAATGCCAGTGGATTTTTCTCCTTCGTCGGGAATATTACGCTTCAAATTGCTAGCGCCTGCGTTGCAGATGGTCTGCAATCTCAGTTTCCATGGATCAATCCGCGATTTGTTTTCATTTTTGACATGTATTGTTTTGAACGTCAGTCGTCCTCGTGGCCTGATCGCGATATCTACCGCTCCACAGTGACCAGCTGGTTTGTAGAAGTCATGAATGCAAATCATATGACAAAACCAAAGGTTATAGTAGTATTTAGTTCATCATGGTACAAATTAAGATGTAATAAAGATATAAATTACTTATATTGACTTAATTCTGTCTTGAACTATTTCAAACAAATTTTCTATCGTGAAAATGAATTCATCCACTTTCGACCATCTATTTATACCAAAACTTAAATAAATTTCCATCCATTCATCCACTCATATATTGTCTGCTCATTTTCATACATTGTCTCATTTATTGATGAAGATCTTAGAAAAAACTTCTTATAAAGTTTCAACAATTTTTCCTCTTTCTTTTGAGGGGGGTGGGGTACAATTTTATAAGT